TTCTTCTTCTTCTTCTTCTTCTTCTTCTTCTTCTTCTTCTTCTTCTTCTTCTTCTTCTTCTTCTTCTTCTATAAAATAAGGATATTGTTAACTACCTCATTGGTTGATTATATGTTGGTAAATGACATGATATGCAAAAAGCATGACCCAGACCCATAGTACATGTTCGTAAAAGTAAACTTCATATTTTGGCCATTTTTTTTGATGAGTAATTTACAATAATGACTTATATTTCCAAAGAAGCTAAATTCAAACCTTTGTCTAATTTAGGTCTATATTTCTGAGTCATGAGTTATTGTTTTCTTAACTTTTCAGGCCTAGATTTTGTTCCAAAATCTGGTTAACTTTTGACCTGCAAGTAAACAGCCTTAATTTCCATAACTGGCATTTCTGCCTTCCCCTAAGGCCGCAGTTCTCAACTTGGAGGTCATGACCGGTTCACAGGGGTCATATATCAGATCTCCTTCGTATCCGATATTTACATTGTGATTCATGACAGCAGCAGAATTACAGTTCTGAAGTAGCAATGAAATGATTTTACGGTTGGCGTCACTGAAGCATGAGGAGCTGTGTTAGAGAGTAGCAGCATCAGGAAGGTTGAGAACCACTGCTCTGGAGCATCATGTTGCTGGACCTACCCAGGCATTTGACAGCTTACTTTCAGGACCTTTAATTGGCTGGGGGCTGCAAGGTTTTTCTCCTCACCTTGCCCCTGTCCCCTTGCCCACTCCTCCCTCCTGATGGGAAACCTGAGTGTGCCCCCCCTCCATGGGAGATGGGTCAGAAGATCCCGGTCCCCCATAATTGTTAGAGGCAGCTAGCAATGATACTTCCTGTAAGGACACAGGCTCCCAGGGGTACCTCAGACGGAACAGACCAGCTTCTCTAACTGCAAACATGGGGAGTGTTGATTTTTTTTTCCTTTCTATTGGGAATTCAGAGGGGACCTTCACATGCATCTCCAGGGAAATCCACGGGGCAGCATTCCAGTCTTTGTCCGTGAGTGCGTACTCCTCTGCCAGTGGGACCCACGGTCTTGATTTCTAGTGACAGTCTTGGGGGTACGAAGTAGAGATTTATCTTCCAGTGACGGGAGTTATTTTTGTTTTCGTCAGCCTGGGACTATTATAATGAACGCGAAGGCACTGGCGGGAACAAGGCTTTTATTATAATACGAGGGTGAGGATGGCTTTGACTGACCTTTCTTCTGCTGGAGTTTCAGTGTTTTAGTATGTGCCGCTTGTGCTGGAAAGAATTTATAATCACAGGCTGTCAAAGACAGCCATTGTTCTCCCTGTTCTGAACATGTGGGTCAGCCACAAGTGCCTGCAGCTCCGCCAACGCCAAGAGCTGGTGGGGAGAGAGCATGCCTGGATTCTTCTGAGGCATCAGGAAAAGCATTTTGCATATTTTTCATTGCCCTCCCTTTTTTTTTTTTTTTTTCTAAAAAAAAAAACTCTTGCCTCTGAAAGACAGCTCGCTTTCAGAGCAGGAATTTCCCTCCAAGGTAGCAGAAGATGGAAGCATGCTGCTCCAGGATTTTACAGCCCTGATTCTGCCTGCATTTGCCAGATAGCATAACCCGGGGCAGCGGCACTGAACTAGAGACTCGTCCCACAGACATGTGGTTATGGATTCCGAAAGACAGGTCAAAGGTTTTTGTCTTTGTTGTCAGTGATCATTGCATTCTTGTGAATCCAAACTTTGTGATTCTCTGTATTTAATTACTTAAAAAACAAAACAAAACACAACTTGATGGAATGTGAGTTACTTGGGGATTTTTTTTTAAAGTTGTGCGTGGTCCTCTAATTGAAAGGATGCAGCAGAATAAGGTTGAGGGAATGAAGACTCACTATCGATGCTGGTTAGTTTACAGGAACTGGCTGCTACGACTTTTCCGCACAGATTGTCTCTGCAAGGATCTTCGCAGACCACTGGAAGCCGAATAGTATATGTATGTTACAGTCATAGCTGAAATTCTTTCGTTTTATTTTGGGACAGGAGACTGATGACATTGAGAGCCCTAAACGCAGTATCCGAGACAGTGGCTACATCGACTGCTGGGACTCTGAACGCAGCGACTCCCTCTCGCCACCTCGCCACGGCCGAGATGACTCCTTCGACAGCCTGGATTCTTTTGGCTCCCGTTCCCGGCAGACACCCTCTCCAGATGTAGTTCTCAGGGGAAGCAGTGATGGTAGGTTCTATGTTCAAACACCGAACATCTTGGGATTAATCATTAACAGGAGTTTCAGGATCGAAGTTAGAGAGTTGAGTGCTGGGAAAGCAAACTCCAAATCCATCTGGCTAAAGCCTGGTAATGCTATAAACTGGTAGGGGCTGGGGGCTCTGGGGGGTTTGGGGGGGGAGTTTTTAACTGTTGTTTTCATGGCTCTCAGAATTTTGATTGGCTTTGCCAGCAGGTCATTTGAACGCCGCCTCAGTGAGCGTATCTTCTGTTAGAAAAATGTGTTACATCATTCTTCCCTGGGTCTCCCTGAATCAAGATGCTATGCAGACCATTAGCTCATAAAATGTACTAAAGTTTATATGCCGTGGGTACAAGGAAGGAAAATGTTTAGTGAGTAACAGACTGTAGAAGTGAAAATGGCAGAACTCCCCCGAGCAAACTAACATGCACTTTATACCCTTAAAAAAGCTCTAGTCTCTGGGGCTGTGCCCTTCTTGATTGGTACCTGTTTTGTCATCAATCAGTTTTGTTGCCCGTCTGAGTAATGGGCTAGCTCCGTGCAAATGGCCATGAATGCATAGTGCATACCTATTTGCCTATTGGCCCAAGGCTGGATTTTTATTTAAATCCTGTGCATTTGATATTACCTTCATGGAATGGTCAATATTTTCCCTACAGAAATGTGTGTTCCTGTAGTCTGACGTGAGTTCAGTGGCTGTCTCAGAGCTAGCTGCTTGCTTCAGCTCTCTTTGATTTTTCAGGAGGGCATGGGGCTTAGTTATGCCTGTATTAACTTGCAGAGAGACAGCAAGGCTGGTGGGGGATTTTTTGTTTGTTTCTATTTTTGCATATGTTGCTGGTTGATAGTAATATTTTTGGGCATTCTTCTACTGTCTGAGATCCAGGTTATCTTTTGTAGCTACAGTGTTGCTTTCTGACATAAAATTCTTTTTATAGTTGTTTGTTTGCTTGTTTGTTTTTGTGAAGTACTAGAGATTGACCCTAGGGCCTTATGAATTCTAGGTTCCACTGAGCTATGTCTCCAGCCCCTGAGCTATGCAGGTCACTGTGACCCTTGAGTATTTCACAGGTCCAGGTTCTAAGTTAGACACCTAGCACCAGCATGCAGTATCTTACTTAATCTTCATCATAATCTTCTGTATAGGCTTCTGGTCCCATCTTAATTCATCCTTGCACGCATCTGGGAGACACTCCTCCTTATTTTACAGATGTGTCTTCAGGAGTTTAAGTCTTTGCCCCAATATTTCTAAATGACAAAAATTACTGTCAGTGTAGTAGCTTAAGTCTGTCAGCTTTAGGAAGTGTGGGTCCAAACTGGTGCTCTTAATTCACCTGGGCGACTTTCTCTTTGTCCAATAGAAGTTTTATTCTAGAGTCACTGAACAAATGTGTTTGCTCAGAATGTACACTTTTCAGCAGACAGATTAGCCTCAGGGCCACAGAGTATGTGACTCCTAAAGAATTCCATGGTACATTGTGAGCTGCTTGAAAAATATTTCTGAAATTTTATTTGACATCTTAAGTACCACCCACAGCACTAGAGGTTAAAATACCAACTCTGTGATCTAATTATGCTTTAATATAACCCAAGCATGGATTTGCTTTTACAAAAAACATCTCAACCTAACCATTTCACCCATGTTGTTTGTTTTAACTTAAAAAAAAAATGACTTTTTTTCACCTTTTTTTTTTTTCCTTTTTTTTTTTATTTTTTTTTTGTAACTGGTCCTATAGATGCTTTAGTTTGTCGCCAGCTTGGAGAGGTTTAGAGTTTAAACCGCAAACCACATCTTGAAAGGATTTGAGATGGAGGTTAGTAATACTATACTAAAATATCCCAAAGCACAGTTTAGTTGCAGCAATTACGACTGATAAAGTGGAGCCTATTTATAAATGCTTTCTCCATCAGACAAACAATGGAGAATACATCCTTCCTAGTCCCCCTCACAAACTGCACCTTGTACAGGCGTCACCAATCTGACAACTCAATGCTTGTCTTCCTGTAAAGTAATCAAGACCCACTTACACTTAAAAAAAAAAATAAAAACACATTTCTTAATCTTCTTTTAAAAATGCAGTATAATTTTTTGCCAAATACGTATTAATTATGTAAGACTTTCTGGTATGTTCCTTTAAAATAATGATGATCAGTAAGATTGCTAGCTCTAATGAATAGTTCCATGTTTGGAAGACTATTTTTTAAGTATATCTTGAAAATTTTTGTCCCAGCATCCACCATCCAATTTGGAGCCGTCTTAACGTAAAATTCTTTCCCTTTATATTGGGTTCACATGGAAGGCTTCAACTTTGTTATTACGAGTGGGTACCCTTTGACCAATTCCAAAATGACAAGCCACATTCAGAAGGAACATGGTCCTGTGAGTTGGATACAGTTTCCCTGCTGGAGAGCTGTAAACCTACAGGTTTGCTTCAGGCAGTTTATCTTGCCAGCCAGGTACTGAGTGTCTCCTTCAACCTTCACTGGCGTTACCCGTGAGGTCCCTCAGTAAACGTCACCGAACAGGAAACACAACCTTGCAGTCATGTGCTTGGAAAACTAGAAACATGTCACAATATGATTAGTTGCATTAATTTAGTGTGCCTATGTTTTATTAAAAAGATGTTACAAAATAGGAATGAAGAATAAGCAAAAGTAAAGGGCTAGAAGAAAATTACAAAGTATTTGCAATTTGAGGGTATTTGGCAAATATGTGGAAGGAAGAGGAGGTGGGGAGGAAGCAGACGGAAGCAGAATGGCTCTAATTGCTTGTAGCCATATGGAAAAGAAGAGTGAGACTTTGATAAAGTAATAATGTGCCATGTGCCCTGTTATGTTTTCCTAACTTTGAACATTCAGGTAGAAGCCAACCTAGTAAATTTCCATGTCCACAGCATATAGGGAAATCAAAGTCTTTTACAAGTCTAGCCTTACAGCATGTAGGCACTCCGCGCCAGTCTTTCTGAGGTCCTCTGTGTCATTTCAACTGAATCTTCATAATGCTCCAGCGGAGTGCCAGCGTCATCTCTGTGTAGGCCTTGAGAACCAAGAGTAAAAGGAGTTTAAAGAACTAGTATCATGGGGCTAGCATATGGTGGAACTGAAATGCCATCTTGGCTGACCTGACAGCTAAGCCGGTCTGCCCCAGGACACTGGCATTTCTTAAACAGACATTTCTTAAGTTGTCTGTTGAGACAGTCCTGAAGAGTACTTTGAGGGAGGAAAGGGTGTGTTTACGTGTTGGCATATTTTGAGACTTTCAGGATATTGTGATAATATTTCAGATGTTATGTGGAAACATGGCCCATAGACTAGGTTTTTAGAGCTGACGGACCCAAGGCGGCTCTAACCACCACTAAGCTGTTCATTGTAGACAGAAAACTTACTTGCTTTCGTTCATTTATTCAGCATAGTGTAGTATTTCCCCTAGTCAGGACATTTTAAGAGGACATTTTTCTTAGTGCTGGGTGCTGACAGGACAGAACTTTGGGTGTCTGGAGAGGAGAGTCCAGTTTCCCTGAGCTGACACTAATCAGCCAGGGGGAAGGGAGGTCCCTCGGGCCCCTCTGAGCCCGTTTCTTTATTAAGAGCGGCTACTATCAAGTGGAGGAACAAGTCCATGTGCTCAGCAAGGCAAGGCGGTGTGAGCATTTCTTTACTGGCAACATTTATTTTGACACCGACAGATACACTTGTTAAGACTTGTGGTGGGAAGGGGGCTTAAGCAATGAATCAGACACTAGCCAGCCAGGAAATGGCCAGAATTTCAGAAGAGAGGCTGTAAGCAAGCTCCATGAATAATTCATAGTCTGAATATTTCACGTACAATGAGCAGCTTGTTCACAGCCAATGTTTTTAACATACAGTCTTTTAAACGTCATTAAATGATCTAATCTTCATGGTAAATCCTATCATCCCAGTCTCACAGAAGAGGACAGTCAAGTGTGTTAAGAGACAAACTGAGGAGGTCACAGCTCATGTATGATGGACACAGAACTGTTACAACATGAAGATTAGGCAGCACGTCTTAAACACGAGGTGCCAGATGCTGGCCCAATAGCTGTAGGTGGATCCAATTCTTCCAGTACTCCTGCAAAGCAGATGGCATCATTGCCCTGACTTTACAGACTGGGAAATGGAGGCTGTAGCAGTCAGGCTAACGAGATGAATGAATAGCAGAGCTGGAAATGAAGTGAACCTAAAACCTTGCCCACGGCTCCCTCTGCCTTGTTCCAGCTCTTGGCTTTCTTCTTAAGCATAAATGTCTCTGCTATCAACAGAGTGAAAATGATGTCATGCTCTCATTCATTGATTAAGAGTTTTCAATCAGCATTAAAATAGCTGTTACTCATGTAATCATGTTTGTCTTAATGACAGCTTCATTCTTATAGACCTTAGAAATCTAACAACATGAGACTCTGGCAAAAAGAATATGTTGCAATTATTGGGGCTATTATCTAGGAGCAAGGCTTATTTGGCAGAGCTGAACTCCTTTACAGAAAAAACAAACACACACAAACAGTCTTTTAGACAAACTGCTTCCCGTGTCCATCTGGGTTTGAGGTGCCCATTGACTGCATTGGCGTGCTTCAGAATCTAAATAGCTCTAGTTTTCAAAACAAAGGGAGAAAAAAAAGGTATGTGCAGGAGACATGATCATGGGTTGGTAGGGAGTGTAGGAAGAAGATTGTCCCAGCTCAGGTACTGGGGAGACTCCATGTAGAAGATATGACCTCTTGGCAGGTCAACCCTCAGTGACTCCACCTGGTGACTCATCTGAGTTCTGCAATTCTCATCTGTTTTTGCTGCTAGAGTATAATTTACATCTTCTCCATGTTCTGTGGCAAAGTTCAAGATACATAGAGACAAATAATTTCTATTGTATGCATGTCAGAATGTCTAGCACAGTGGACTCAGGCTAGAGATCAGTAAAAAAAAAAAAAAAGAAAGAAAGAAAGAGAGAGAGAGAGAGATTTTCTTTTTCTTTTGACAGTGGCCAAAGCTCACAGTTTTGCTAGTCCAGCACACTTTCCCAGTATCCATCCTCTTTTTCCCAGGAAGAGGAAGCGATTCTGAATCAGACTTGCCACACCGGAAGTTGCCGGACGTGAAGAAAGATGATATGTCCGCAAGACGGACTTCCCATGGTGAACCGAAATCAGCAGTGCCTTTTAACCAGTACCTCCCCAACAAGAGCAATCAGACAGCCTATGTCCCGGCACCTCTGAGAAAGAAGAAGGCGGAGAGGGAGGAATACAGGAAGAGCTGGAGCACAGCCACCTCCCCCCTGGGTGGGGAAAGGCCCTTCAGGTAGGACCTCAGTTTCCGTTCTTTGATGCACCATTACAAAGGGAAGTCGGTGGTCAGTACATCCCAGAGAGCTTGTCATAAAACGCTGATTCCGTGAAGGTCCCTAGAACCCTGCCTGTTGCGCAGTAGGTATCCACAAATACTTCACAGAGGAGCCGATGCCCTCAGACCAGTTTTGTTATCAGAATGTGGAAAACACATATGTCACGCGTGTCCTACTATGGAGGCTACCTGATTTCTGATCCTGTTACAGGGGATACAGAAGGACTCTTGATGCACTCACGTAGAGCAAGCTCAGATAAGAGCGCCATCGAGGCAGCTGGAAGACCAAGTGTAGACAAGCATCAAATAAATACAAGATGTGTGTGTGTGTGTGTGTGTGTTTGTGTGTGTGTGTGTGTGTGTGTGTGTGTGTGTATCAAATAGCCCTGATAAAGTCTTTAAGGCGGTAGTTCTCAACCTTCTTTAATACAGTTCCTCCTGTTGTGGTGACCCCCCAACCGTAAAATTATTTTCATTTCTACTTCATACCTTCAGTTTTGCTACTGTTACAAGATGTGATTTTTCAGTTTTTTAGAGAACGAAACTATTCCCTCTATCAATTTTATTACATATTTATTCTGAAGTATCTGTTGACTGTTGAGTTGTCTGTTATGTGCTGGGTGCTGTCTTTAAAGATTTGGGAGCCCAACAGTAAGGTACTAAGAAACAGCCCCTGTCTTTAGTATCCTTGTAAGAACTTTACTATTGCACTTCTGTTATCTATGATTTTCCCACTGAAGACATGTTTTGTTAAACATTTTACTTATTGATCTAAACTAATGAATTTTACCTTTCCAGCAGAAAAAGTTGTGGTTTTTTTTTTTCCTCTTTCAATATCAAGTTTGCCAGAGCCCTTGATCGGTATGTAGGAGAAATGCATTGACATCACAGTAGCAGGATTGTATCCTGTGCCGTGGCTGATTTTTCTAAGTTAAAAGTGATATCAAAATGTCTTGGAAGTGATGTCCAGTCTATGAGCTTGGTAAACCATGTTGTCCAACTCACTAGTTATCCTGACACGATAGAGGAGGAGGGAAGTGAAGCAGGGTCTCCCTGTGAAGATGACCCCAGCAGTCTGATGGGCCCTGATGGGAAGCCTGATGGTGGGTTAGAAGCTCCTCCCAGCAATGGTGAGGGGCAGTCTCCTGAGGGCGTCGCTGCGGTGCCAGCTGCTGTTTCTGAAGACAGAGACTCCGTGGAAAGCCGAAAGCTCAGAAGGCTGGAGCAAGCTGGGATCAAGGTCATGCCTGCAGCACAGCGCTTTGCCAGGTTAGCTGAGGGCTGCCCTGGCTGGCCTTCCGCATGCCCGCAGGTTTGGACTCCCATCTAGCAAACTGGACTTCTCATCCTGTTTCCCCAGTTCCTAAGTATCCGTCGCATCACTCCTCCCTGCTCTGAACAAATAGAAATAGATGTCTGCCTTGTGGCATGTCTCCGCTAAGTCCTTGGCTCCTTTAAACAGAGATAAAGTGTGATTGTGAGCTTCTTTCCGCTTCATTAGACCTCATCCCTTCGGTCAATCATGTGGGCTGCAGGATTTACCTAGCAATAACATTTTATTTTCCTATTGCCTGTGTCTTGTTAACTTTCATACTACTCCTAAATGGCTCATTACTTCACGTGACCGACCCGTCATTAGAATATGTTCAGGATCTTAAAATGAGGAACAGTCTATTCATAGAGAATAACTGACTTACAAAAATCCACTTGTTTGCCTTCTCTTAAAAAGTGGTAGGATTGACTCTGTCAGCGTACTTTCTAAAGCATAGCGATTCAAAGCTAAGAAAGGAACAATGCCTTCTCTTCATTGCAGCAAAAAGGTATTAGCATACAGTACTACTGACTTTGTAAAACAGGCGAGGTGAGGTATTTCAAGATGACAATCAAATTCTACAGGTCTGCAGTTTTATGGCGAGTTTTGGGAAGCATGTTTACCTTTTATGTAAGAACCACAGTGATCCTCATAAATAATCTTGCAGTCAACACTCACACAACAAATTGATGCTCAGAGCAATTTGGCACTTTGAGATTCCCTCCATACTTGCTATTCCTTTTCATTTTAAAAGATCAGTAACCCACTCATTTTTTTTTTTTTCAGAAGAAGAAACCAAGGATGGGTGGTTGTATTAATTATTGTTCTTGGTGCTGTGAAAAACAAAAACAAAAACAAACTTGATCTGAGCCACTGAAGGAAAGAGTGATTTATTTTTGCCCATAGTCCTGGGAGGTTTTAGTCCTTCATGTCAGGGCAAGTATGGAGATGGGAGCAGCTTGGTCATATTTACAGGTGCATGAAAGCAACTGGCTTCATTGTGGCAGGCAGTAGAGAATGGGACCAATAAGGTCAGGCTATAAACTCTAGCTCACTCCCAGTCACTCACCTCTGCCAGTATGATCCCATGTCCCAAAGGTTCTGCAACCTCCCAAACAGTGTCACCATCTTAGAGACCAAATCAACAAGCATGTGAACCAGAGGGAATTCTGGGGATGGTTCATATTCAAACCATAGCAAAGATAGTAAGTGGCCTATAGAGCTTGTCAGAGGTTCCATGACAGCCAGATTCAGCTACTTAGACCATAGCAATCCATCTGCCTTGCACACATGTGTTTCTATATGTGCTCCTTATGTGGTTATGTCCACAGTCTAGTTCTTAATTGAAATATCCAGTATTGGCTTTTATGGATTTAATTGTAGGGTAGCTTTGTGTTGAATTTTTAAAACACACACACACACACACACACACACACAGAATATTTCTTCCCTGTTTGTGGTATCCCACAGCTAATATACCTATCCTAAACATGTGCATGTTGCTAGAAATTCTGATGTAAAATTCTGCTTATGTTACAAGCACTTCTCTGAAATAACAAAGAATAATATCATACTGTCTCTTCAGAATATCCAAATATTCTCTGACTGCATCCTTCAAGCATCTACTTGCCCCAGCGACCAAAGTAGAAGCCAAATACAGAAATTAATACTACCCCGTCACCGTGCACCATTTTCCAAACTTGTCTGTCTCCCCTCTTTAAGCTTAGAACAAAATTAGAGTATTGCTAAGTTATACAGATAAGAGCATGAACACAAAAACCCAAATCTCTACATCTTTGACGCATATGCCTTCATTTTTTAATCACATCTGTAAAGTCTTTTAGCTAGAGGATGAGCAAGGAGATACAGGGTGCTCATTGGTCCCATAGAGAACAAAGTTATGTACAGGTTGGGAGTTCCGTAAGTGACCTACCTGCACCATTTAGCAACTGGAAATTATATTTTACAATAAAATGTCAAATTCTTTAATAACAAGTCTCCTTCAATATGCAAACCTAGACTTAGGGTTTAAAATGTTATTCTAGTGGGAGATGCTTTGTTTAGGTGGTCACTTTTGCTTCCATGCATCTTTGCTATTTTCTGAGATAATTTTTATTGTGTCATCCAAGTTAACTGTGAAGCCGAGATGTTCGGGAATTTCAATGTCATCACACACAGACTTTCGCACACAGCATTTAAAATCATGTTGAGGCAGCTATAAATGTTCCTAGAGAATGTCCCCCAATAGCAGCACCACTTAGCTGTTTCAGTCACCAAGAGTCCATTGGGTAGACAGTTTTTCAGCTTCTAGCTCACTCCTACAGGCAGGTACATCATGCCACCAGCTCAGCATGTCTACGTTTCTGTCACTTATCTTTTTACAAGGCACATTAGAGTTGAGAGTCATTCTAAGCTTATACACATTTGGGGTCCTGCTTTCAATGTGGCAGAAAGTTACTTAATTGGAATGAAATGCAAATCATGGAAAAACGGGTGTGGGGTTTATGCTCCTTATGTGGAAAGTGAGATTATAAATCATTGAACTATGCCAATGTCTCTCAAAACATTTGACCCCACGTCTCTTGTTTTGACATCCAGATGGATTCTGGCCATCACATTTTTGGACCCAGCAAGAAGCTAAAGATACTTCTTGGGGCTTTTTCTCAATTGGGAAAGCCTTTGTCAGGCAAGTCTGTACAAGAAAGGGGAATACACAGGATAGGAGGGACAGCCTTTATAGCTAGACCCCTTTTTTGTTTCTTTCCCAAGGATCCTCAGGCACCTTCTTAAATTACTTTAAGCCAATATATACACAGAGCAAAGATACATGCCATTCCAATTTTACATGCTGTTAGAAGCCTATAGGACCAAACTACTTGTGAAAAAATAAACCAAGAAGTATCTTAGCATCAAGGAACAAAGTAGGACTTCTCAATAAATGTGTGGCAGTTAATATTTCCATCAGTTTTTTAAAAGTATATAAACTGCTTTTTCTTGTATTTTATTTTATGACCATGTTAACTTAATTAACCCTCCCCCATAAGACTCTGCAAAAGAAGCCAGATTTCTTTTTTTTTTTTTAAAAGAGGGTAAAATAAGAACCAAGATTCACTTCCCCCTAAATTAAAATACCATAGAGAGTTGAGTTCTCTTATTTGGTGTTTCCCATTGGAGAAGTAAATTTCTTTAACTGAATTATAAGTTTCACGTGACTGTACTTCTTTTCTAATTATTTGCATGTGTTTCATCACTCAGGATTTCTGCTAGTCTGTGAATGTTCTCAACCACATAGTAATTAATGACAGAGAGGAGACAACTCTCTGGGGAACAATGGACATTTTAGAAGTCTTCATAGGACGAGCAGACGTGGCCCAGTTGCCAGACACATATTCCTCCACGTCTCTCTGTACCAGATGCTGGCTCCCTGCTTCTTTCCACGTGGGTCCCCCAGTCTGGGGACCAGACAGAAACAGGCCTGACCTTTGTGACTCTGGCTGTGTCTGCTGTGCCCGGAGACAGGGGAACAGGGAGGTTTCTGCTGTTGCCTATGACATTCCCAAGAGAATGAACAGGCCTTTCTGGAGAGCCCAGTTTCTTTCAATAGAACAAACTCACTGCCAAGCCAAGCTGGCTGTTCATTGCCAAGTAAAAGGGGGTGAAAGAGAATGCAAGCTCTTCCTTAGTTTATTTATAGTGTGTGCGTGTGTGCATGTGTGTGTGTGTGTGTGTGTGTGTGTGTGTGTTTCACATGTGCATGCTTGTGCTTTTGAGCGTGTAGAGACACCGTGTATGTTGTTCTATCACTCTCTGCCTTCTTCCCTTGGAGCAGGGTTTCTGATTGAATCTGGAGTTAGGCTAGTAGCCAGGAAGTCCCAGTGATGCCCTTGTCTAGCTCCTCCCCCAGCACTGAGGTTACCAGTAGCACTCTCTTAAAGGAGAGTGTGCAGCCACTCCCCTTTAAGTAGGTACTGCCAATTTAAAGTCAGGTCCTCCTGACTTCACAGCTAGGGCTCACCTACAGAACTATCTTCCTGCCTCTTCTCTTCCTTAGTTTTAATCATCATCTCATCTGCGTTGAAATATAAACCTTAGAAACTCTGAGACAAGCATTTTCTCTGCCCTATCCCATGCTTTGTGTCCATAATCTCTCCTGTTAAAAAAAAAAAATAGCATTTTTTTTTTTTTACATGAGGCTGGCAGGGTTGCCAGGTTATAAGCTGGGCTTTGCATTTCTCTGTAGTCAAAGCAGGTCTTGAACTTTGTGATCTTCCTGATTCAGCCTCCCAAGTAGCTGAGGTTGCAAACCTGGACCCTTGGGCCCCAATAGGACTCTGCATTTCAGATTACACATGGATTATATCCCTTTCAGTAAACAAGGTCCACCCAGCAGTTGCCAAACCTGCCAGTAAACGTAAGTGTGAACATGCTGGCTCTGCTGCTTATGTAGACTTAAAGTAATTCAGCTAAGTTCAGAAAATTTGAACTAGAGAACATAATATTTTGCAAAATGGACCTTATAATTCCTGGTTTCTAGAATTCTCATCATCAGTTTATATACTAGCTGTTCACACTTGTAGTTATTGGAAAAAAAAAAGAAATGTGTCAGAGTTTAACAGTAGGCTGCCTTTAAAGACTAAATAATACAAAAATCATTGAAATATGTTTGGTAAGTAGATACTTATGACTATTTTTTCTACATATCTGCCTTCAGTGCATTTTTATTTCATGATGAGTAGTGCCAGCTAATATTTGATATCTTTTTTTTTATCTCTCTTGAGATGGCCATAAAGCTCTAAATTTACAGAAGTCACGCAGTGAACAAAAATTACTCATAGTAACAGTTTTCCAGTTGGAGTAAAGATATTCCAGAGATGGGAGTATCTTAAAGTGGCCATTGATGGAGAAACTTTATTCAGTCTCTCCTTTGAAGCACACATATCTAAATTGAGATCACTTGAAACAAGTCCTGCCACACTGGGCAGTCAGCCTAAAAAGAAACACTAGGGGAATTTGCAGCCCAGCTGGGCTTGCAAGATGCATAAGGTACCAGATTCGCACTGCTCAAATTGGCATTGTAAATTGGCAGGGCCATTTGCATACATGCATACTTTTTATTTTAACAAAATTCTTTCAGAGATGAAGCCCAGACCTCCTGGTCAGAAAGTGGAAAGAGTTTTAGTCTTAGATTTGGTTCACAGTGATACTCTGCCCCACACTGGGGTCTAAGAATATGTGAGGTGTGTGCTTCCTAGCTAAGGAGTTTTGTAAAATATTAAATGTTGAGCAAAATCTCGAGGTATGATTACTTAGTATTCTGTTATCCTCTGAAGGTTGTTGTGCGATGCAATTCACAACTCTATTCTAAGTACAACTCAAAAAATTCCTTTATTTAGTAACCAAATTACCTCCCTTTCTCCTACCTCATAGTAATGATAATGCTTTTTTTTTTTTTCAATGATGCTGTGCTTTGAGAGCTGTTCCTGACATTGTTGTCTGTCCAATCAGTAGCACAGTGGTCTATTCATTGTCATAGAACAGGACCTCTGGAACCAGCCTGCCTTGATTTGTATTCCGATTTATGCACTAGCTCTCTTTGATCTTGTGCAAAGCTCTTCTTTGCCTCGCCATACTTTCTACTTGCTAAAAATGAGGACGAGGGTATATACACACCATGGGCCAGGCAGTTTTAGTTTTAGAATTACTACTTAGGAGGAATTCTAGTACGTTGTGTAGGCTTGCGATCCACTGGGCCAGCATCATTATAATCAGTTTGTTTTTGCACAGTTACTGAAATGTTCAGCAGTCTGTCGTTTTCTACTAACCCTTCTTCATAGCCATAGTGGACCAATCCAAGTTGATATTTGCCAGACATTGCCAGACATATTGACTGAGGATTCAAGGGAGGAAACTGAACTCAATTTAGGGAGGGACCAGGCAGAAGACTAAGAGTTGAGTGTGCAACTCAAAGGCAGGATTTAATATTTTAAATAATAATTTTATTGAGAAGTAAAACATCACATGCACATTTTTAAAAAAAAATCTTGAGTTTTAAATCGAGAACAATGACTAATAATGAGAAGGTTTTATGAATATGACCAAGCATATTTTGATTTTTCAAATCTCAGATGGGAGATCTGCTGTCATAAGGAAACCTCCTTTGGAACAGTATGATGCAAAGTAACAGCCAGTGGACCAACTGGTCAACCAGAGTAGACTGTCTGATTGTTGGTTCCATCCTCAGCCAGGTTAATTCCTCTTGTCTTCATTCTTGAATGAGTTTGTCCTTTGTTTGTTTGTTTGTTTGTGTTTATGCAAGTATGCTAAGGTATGCATGTGAAGGTCAGAGAACAATTTGTGGCAATCAGTTCTTTCCTTCCACCACATGGTTCCAGGAATCAAATGTTTGTCACTGGGCAGCAAGCTCCCTTACCTCCTGAGCCATCTTACCTGACCTTGAATACATTGTGGGTGCTGCAGTACGACTGACTGAACTTCAGTTTATGTGCTTGTTAGACAAGTGCTTTGCCACTAAACTGTGTCCTCAGTTCAGGAACTTTAAGTCAACTTTCAGAAAGCCCATTCATAAAAGGTATATACTTTTTTTAGAAATCAAATTATTTTTATTTGCTTGTCCGCTGTGTCCTCAGCTCAAGAACTTTTAATCATCTTTCCAAAAGCTTATACAAAGTAGATAATCTATTGCAGAAATCAAATTATCTTTATTTGTTTGTCACCTTTAGGGACTGAGAATACAATGGGGGGATAAAGGTTCAACACATGTTGCGACTTAAAAATAAAACTGGTCTTAGATGGAGGGATAGGATTCTCTTTTAATGCCACATAAGCACAATTGCTATCTTGCCCATTAGCCCAGGACAAAAAGAAAAAAAATATGTCAAGTCCTAAGGCTTATAATCAAATGTTTGATGTGTCAGCATTAAACTGCCTTTAGCAACTTAAAGCTTCGGTTTTTAAGGGACCTTCAAGACTCCTTTGAAAATGAAAATCATCTGTAGCAATAATTTGGCAAACCACCTTTACCTGTGTTGCTGTGTTGCTCTTCTACCAATACAAAGGAAGCAGAGCTAGGAGGTGGAGCTTAGGGAGTGGAGGAGAGGAAGCAGGTGCTGATGGGAGAATGCAGGCCTTGATCTGCCTGTATGTCATCCTCTGAGTGCTTTTAAACTTTCCACATGTCTCCAGTCAGCTTAGTTTGTTGCAGAAAGACTTCCTTAGGCTTTGTAGTGGGTGCATGTCCTGGGTTCTAGCACATGGCTTCATTCATGAGTTTTCTTCTGGATTCATCTCTTGGGCTCTTTCTTTTGCCCTGTCAGCCAAAACCAAACTGGGTTTCTACTGTGTGTATTACAGATATTGTGGTGATAAAAGTAGTACTAAAGAGCTCCCTACTCCCCGCCCACACACACACACCGTATTTAACAAAAAGAACCTGGTTTGTCACTTTTCGAGCCATTTAGGATCTCGCTTTTATGGATGTTCATGGAGCCCTGCAAATTATATATTAGTGTTGTCTGTATCTGGCTGAATTCAAGGTTGTAAGCCTATCCTAACTGCGCTGCAACTCTGTACTAAAATTAAAAGGTGATGCCCTTTGAACTAACGGTATTGACAGGACTTTTCAATAACAATACAATTGCCTGGTGGCGGGGGTTTAACAGTGTTTTTATGTGATCACATGTGGGGTTCCGTTTGATTTTGCTCTACTAGTCAAAAGCAGTTGAGTAAAGAGAAAGAGGCTATCCGTGACATAATCCTTCGGAAAGAAAACCCTTTCCTGGCCCACCAACATTGCAAAGATTCAGAGTCAGAAGATGAAGCTGCATGCCGACTGCCTGACCTTGAGAAAGATGACTTTGCTGCAAGGAGGTCAAGGATGAACCAAAGCAAGCCAGTAGTACCACTTAATCAACTCCTGTATGGGCCTTACCCGAAAAAAGATATAGAGAAGACAGGTGGCTGCGAACAGCTCTCAAAGGGACCACCAGACAAGAAAACCCTAGCATATAAAAGGTGTGCACTCTGTGTGTGTCTGTATGAGAAGGACCATAATTAAGCAAAAATGATCTGTTCATGGACCCCATCCCTCTCTTCCCAGCCCCTGGTGTTGTAAATTTGTATCCCTAGCCAACTAGTCGTGTCCAGCTGCCTTTTAGAGAACAAGCAACACATAAGGGCACTCCGCTCCATTCAAAGGGAACAGAAAACAGCCTTTGTCATTCTATTGGTTACTTGAATTTGCAACTTTTAGATGGAAGGAGAAGGACAAGGTTCAATTCTTTCTTCTCTCACAGAAGCAAGAGAAATAATGGTGGATCTTTCTCATAAAAAACACAGCATTTACTGGGTAGATGGTTCATTGTCATGCAAGTTTGAGGACTGGAGTTCAAATTCTCAGAACCCATAAAATCCCAGATACAGTAGCATACCTGTCAATTCCTAGTGCACCCCTATCTACCAGGCAATGGAAGATGGACACAGGAGAATTGTCAGAGGTTTGCAAGGCAGCTAGCCTGGCTTATAGCAGTAAATCAGAGAAAGCCTTTCTCAAACAAGGGAGAAGGTGAGGTTCAAACACTGAAGTCGTCCTCTGACCCACACATGCATGTCATAGCACATGAACAAATGCATTCACACATTCAAATACACGCATCACACGATCGATGCACAGACACCTTTTCAGACACATGAGGCACTTCCATGTGTACTATCACTGAAATCATTCTCAAGTGAATTTCTCACTCCCGTTTTTCTCCCATTGTTTTAGTTCAAATGGTCCAAAATCCAAAAACATTTAAGGACTGACATCATACTACACTCGGAAAATCCCACACCTGACCTCATCTGACAGGTCACAGTCAAAATGCAGGTGCACTAAAAATACTGTATACAAATCACCTTTAGGCCATGTCTATAGGATGTTTAGACTTGATTCTCATCCCCAAAGTATTTAATTATATATGTGCAAAATATTCTAAAATTTAAAAAATTCCCAGGCACTGGTGATCTAAAGCATTTTAACTCAGAGGTGCTCAGCTCATACATGTTGGCATGAACTGAGGAAGAAAGACTGTCGTCATGTGGGATTTGAACAGTGATTTTTGTATGAAGAGAGGTACGGCAACAGTCAAGGTGTCTACTTACAGGATTTCACCCTGCCAAGTGTATCGACTTGTAGGTTTTTCTTATATCAAAATCGGAGTTCACATCTACACTATTTTCCTGCCCATCATCTTAGAGAGTTGAAGAATGTGGAACTAAGAATATCATTATCTCTCTTACACTTCATTGAGTTAAAAAATCAATCTTTACAGGCATCCTAGCCTACACAAAAAAACCCTGTCTCAAAAACAAACAAGCAAAAGTCAATCTTCAGGCAAAATTATTGAACATAGTAAACAGTTAGCATTTGTTGTTATCTGTGTTCTGCTTTACTTTGGGTTTTATGTAGCCCAGGCAGACCTGGAACTTGCAAGCTGAGGCTGGCCTTGAACTCCTGCTCCTCCTGTCTCTATCTTCCAAATGCCAGCATTACAGGTAGATGTGTACTATTATGCTTGGCAAACACACACTTTTAATGTGGTAGAATGTTTATGGCTGACATAGCCTTAGTTTTAATTACATTTGTTAGCCTGCACTTAAGTTAGCAGAACAACTGGGCTATCAATTCAGCATCCATAAAGGTCAATAATTAATACCCAGAGAAAAGAATGCCCACCTACTCTCTGTGGCTTATGCATACAGTGGCTTTCCAAGATTAATGCTATGAAACAGAGAGTGGGACTGAACGTTGAGCTTTCTGTTCAGAATCCATGTAAATGTACTCTTTGGCCACTGGGGGTTCACAATTGAGGTATTTCACATCTGAACCGTGTTTCAGCTATCTCCAAGATAATCCTTGAGTTTGGATCATGCCAAGCTCATTACTGACATTTACTCATGCAGTAAAAAGCATCCTAAGGGGGTGGGGGAGCGCTGAGAGATTCAATCAGGAAACTCAGATTCATTATAGTGACTTGAATAGTGTGGGAATTGGGCATCTTTACTGTTGAACTGAGACCTCATTACCATTCTCAGCAGTGTGTCTTTCAGCCAGCCCTGGCTTTCCTTCCTAGATAAGCTAGAGACTGTCCTCCATGGAAGAAAAAGAAAAACCTCCCTTATTACAGTATTAAAAGGGTAGCACAGAGGGCTAGAGATGTAACTCAGCAGTAGCATGTGCAAGACCCCAGGTCCCATCCTGCAAGGGTGTCCACCGCTCTTACCAATCCCATGATTCTGAGGAAGGAAAGGAAGTTCCTGTCATTTCATTCTGCCCCTGGCCTCTGAGTTTCCATGTTTGACATTCTGTTTGTCTGCTCCCATTCCTTGAACTTGACTTTTCCAATGATGTGGGGGCCTGAATCAACTCAACAGAGATCAGGGCCAGCCAGAAGAGGCGAACACAACAGCGGCCCGTGTCATGCGAACTCAGGAGAGTGAACCAGTGGAATCAAATTTTAGGAAGGCACCAGATCTTCAGAAGGATGACCTGGCCCAGAGGAGAATTCAGCGCAGATGTACCTCTCACCGTGAGGCTCCAAGCTTCATCAAACTCTCCGGTATTACAGAAGCCGACCTGGAGACATGGGAGAGATTGAAAGTGTCAGAAAAGGCGAGGTGTGTCATGGTTTAAGGGTGGTAGGATTTAACATTCAGAGAATCGAATGTTTCATTTTCTATCTCGATGGCTGGGGAGAGTATCTCTCAAAACACAGAGCGTCTCGAAGTGAGCACGTTCTGAGAGAGAAAGCCTTAATACTAAAAGCCACATTAGCAGAAAACTTCTTTTTACCCAGCTGACTTTCTGCAAGTGGTTATTTATGTTCCTAACTTGCTTACTATAAAGAATTTCAACTTGATTTTTGCATAGCTAACCATTTCAGTGCGCCTACCATTTTCTTATGCTATCAACTTTGGTGTTGGAATTGATGAAAGCAATAGAAATTCAAAGCACTATTCACCAAGGCAAGAACAGTGATCATTTCTTCATTTGAGTGGTTGATGGGAAGCCCATGTGTTCTCGCAGTGGTAGTGTTTTTCTCATATCTAGTGTCTTTTCAACCTCCTCTTGATTTGTACTTGCCTTGGAATCCCCTGGAACTGACTTCTGGTTTTGACCAGGGATGGAGATGCTCAGAACACCTGTGCCCCTGAGCCCTCACCAGAAATCAATGCAGAAATTGCCATTCGGGATGACTTTGCCAGCCGTAAAGCAAGGGCCTATAAGAAAGCATCCAGCCCCAGGCAAAAGTTTGTGCACTTTGGGCCTGTGACAGAGATAGACCAACAGACTTGGAAGCGGCTCAGCATTGGCAAGATGGGGCCTAGGGACGATGCGGAGGTTGTCAGTCACAGCAGCCAGAGCCAAACGTCCTCTGTGTCACCTCCCTCTACTGCTACTTTTGGCTTAAAGGAAGACCAAATGCTTGGCCCACAGAACGACTGCAGGTATTTTTGCCTCCTGTGCAAGGAGGTGTGCATGGGCGTCAGAAGCTGCTTTTGAAGTTGGCTGTGGCGGAGCACAGGCTGAGCATGCGCTAGATCCCCAGCCTCAAAACCAAACTAAAATAAAATAAAACAAAAGGCAACCAACCAATAAAACACCCAGAGTCTGAGGACATTACACAAACCTCTAGAGATGACAGAAATTTGATAGACTCTTGCAGAGGACAGCAGAAAAACAGTGTTGGGGTTCATCTGGGGAAGCATGTATGTGTGTGTGGTGGTGGGGGGTAAATGGCAGGTGTCTATTTCCAGTCTGTTGTCGTGGGAAGAGTGCCTAAGAAGGCTTGTTATCTCCACAGACATCTCTTTTGGCCTAACCACTGAGCGCCATCTTTTGTTTGAACCACCTGAAAGAGTAAGATGGAATGTCATAAGTTACCACTCATATGTCTTCTAAACACACAAAACTCAGCTCTTGTAATAACACCCCCCTCTCCTGTCCCATAGTTATGAGGTACCCGTGAGCATCATAAACTCGGTTTTGGACATCTAAGTAGACCCATAAAAGGGGGTTCCCCTTTCCCCTCAGCTTTCAAAGCCTCCAGCGAATCACGACTGGAACGAGATTACTCTTGAGTCTCTCTAGTCAGGATTTCTTGGAGCCATCACTGCTCAGACTAGGGATGCATCTCATTAGCCTGTGCCAACCCCCTCTTCCATGGAAGCCATCTATCCGGAGCCCTATTCCAGGGAGCTGGGTCCATCATCTGGTCTCCCTTCTCTTAGGCAGAAGTAGAGCATTTCTATGTATCCTGCTTGTCCTCGAGCCTCCATCCCACCCGCCGTATGAAGTTCTTCGTGGGGAAAGAAAGCACGGCATTCCTCCAATACTCTGTCCTTGAGAGCCAAAGATGGTGGGCGGTGGTCCATGACCTTGACCTTTAGGGCAGTCTGTTGAGCTCCAGACTGGTTGATACCATAAAAGAGGAAAAGCTGTACATATAAATGTGTTCGGAACACATGGTGAGGCTTCAGGGCTTCAGAGTCTGAGACAAGCATGAGGCAGGAAACTCATGAGAAGCGCAGCCTTGAGTCCTTTTCATGTGCATGGGCTATCACTCAGTCTGCAGTGACTAGGTCACACCAGGCCCTGTTGGTGTGTTTCAGGCCTTTGGAGAACTTACATTCTACCATCCTAACTGGCCCATGGATGAGAGCTGAGGTTCTTTCTTAGTCTTTCAGCTTCCTTTCATAACTCTCTCCCTCTTGCCTCCTGCCACCCATGCTACCTGATTAACACTAGGATAGCACATACTGGCACAGATGATTGTCTCAAAAAGGCCCCATGGCTGGCGCCAGAGCTGGAGTCTCAGGAAGAGCAGGTCTGCATTCAAAGTGACAACCCAAAGACAGAGGAAGGTGAGGTACCACGAGTCCTGCTTCCTAGGAGGTGATGGCTAACAGGCAAGCAGGCTTTTGGTGAGGTCTTTCTCCCCCGTAGCAAAACTGTCCTCTCTGGCTCTAGTTACACCCACACAGCTGCCACAGGATGGCAGAGAACAAAACGAAGAAATTATTGAAAAACAGCCCGAGATGCTGCCAAGAGTAAAAGGACCAGAGGAATGCAGCAGACCCCTGTGAGCCTCCTGCCTGCAATACATGTTGTACTGCCTCTGCTCTGTGTGGCTGGTGTGTGCTTAGATAAGAACTGAGCATCCTGTGTGCCCTTTGCTGACCGAGTCAGGGGGAGTAAAGTCTCTTAAAGGGATGTGCTCCCCATAGGATCAGAGTTTTGTGCTTCGGGACCCCACTCTGATGGAGATTTTAGCCTTTGCATGCAGATGGGGACTGGCCTGATTCCCTCCTCACCAACTGTGAAAAGCAGAACAGGAGCCATTTCCAAGTCCCAGCTGTGTGTCAGAGGCCTCGCCGAATTAAAAGGGGGATTTCCTACGCAGCTGCTCATCTCCATGCGCTTCTGCCTTGATTGTCAGTGAGTGACACTACTAAAGTCCTTTGGTAGTAAATGGTCTTTAACTGGTTGGAGCAAATGTTTCCCTAGAGCATTCCTCTGGCCTCTTGAGTAGGAGCCTTTGGGAACAGAAGTAAAGTTGGAGAAGAAAACAGCTCCTTCCTGTAGTGGCTGTGGACTGAAAGTCCAGAACAAGATGGCTGATTGATGAAAAGATAGTATGATGACCAGGAGAACTGGGATGTTCCCTAGATATCCCAGATCCAAATCAGTTTCTTGTGTAAAGCAGCAGGAAGTGTAAGAATCTGCCAGGGGTATACCCAGGAATGATCAGAGGTCAGGTTATCTGGTGCCCTTGTGACTTTAGTTTTCCAGTCAGGGCCTTGGCACATGCTTTGAGTGTATTACTAATGCTTCATGGTATATCAAAGCCACTTACCTGCTTCTGCTAAAAGAAATGGAATGATTGACACTGGCCCCATCAATACAGGCTGTTTCTCTCCTTTGCATGTAAGCAGGTATGAAAAGAGTAGTTCAATAATGAGTTTACCCATTAACCATTCTCTCTGATCTTCACCCCGTGGGAAAAAAATGAAAGATGCTTCTTTCTTCCTGGATCACAGAGGAGCCTTCGGCAAAGGAGTCAGACTTCTTTCCAACCTACTCAATTTTATGGATTTCAGGCCAAAGAAGACAAATGACATTTCTAAAACTTGGGAAGTTTTCCAACATTAGCCAACTTCACTGCCCTCTGGTGGCAGGATTTCTATCCCACTTCCTGACTTGATTTAAGATCCTGCCATTTCAGGGTCCTATGTGTGGAAGCTGTGGTTGCTGATTAATGATACATGTTTTTTAAGTGTAGGATACGTATCCAATGTTGGGTGATGAGAGAGATGTGCTTTGCCTATCTCTTAAGGTGACTGTGAAACAGAAAGTACTAGCATTCTGCTTCTTGAAAGCCCTGTGATGATGGCACTGAGACAGGGGCATAGTGGGGGCTAGGAAGAGCATTAACTAATCCCAGAATTTTTAAAATTAGTACCCTAGCCATCTTTATCAGCTGAGTTTGACCGTTTGGTCATTCTGGATAATAACAATAGTAGAACTCTATTACCCTGATGCCTAGGCTCAGGGACAAGAGCCATAGGCTATGGTATGCTATATCCCCTCCAGTGTGTGTCTGCTCCCTCTCTAGCTCACCTCTGGGGAAATCACAGGTAGGTTGAGAGTAGATATTTGCTCATTTCACAAAAGGGGGAAAACTTAAGTGATCGAATCCCATCTGGTTCCCAGGTTGAGGCTGGTTAAGGAAAAGGGGACTGAGTGCTCAACCTTGTCTTCCATTGTCAACTCATCTTCCAGATGCCCCAACCTCCTGCTTTACTCTGGATCCGTGGGCTGTGTAGAGTAAACCAGAGTGAAAGGAAGGAGACAGGGCCTATAGGATGGACACTGCAAGCATTTGGGGTGCCTTCCTGTTTGCCACACACAACCTTTGCAGTCGAGAAACCCAACTTCAGTACACAGCCCAGAATTAAAGCACCAAGACTTGAAACTTAGCTCTGAGTGGAAAAAACTACTGTTCCCCGTCAAGGTATTGCCTACACACGTCACAAGAGGCGTCACAAAAGCTGGGCCGAATTCCTACCTCTTTCTATCTGCCGCTCATTTGCAGTTCATATTAGGATGAGTTGTTAGTGTAAATGGAGAGGGCCATTAACTTTTTAAATTGTTTGGTGTATGTGTGTATGAGAGAGAGAGAGATAGAGAGGGAAGGAGGAAAAAAAAGGGGGGGGAGAGAATGGCCACATGCCAGTAAAGGTCAAAGAGCAGCCTGTAGGAGTTAGACCTTTTCTTCTACCATATGAGTTATGAAAACCTCAGGTCATCAGGTTTGGTGGTAACCCCCTTTACCTGCTGAGGCATCTTCCTGCCCATGACATGCTTCCTGATGGAGGCAACACACACTCTGAGAATCTGTGTTTCCTGTTAACAAATGTTTACTGAGTAATTACTATGTGCAAAACACAAGGCTGAGTGCTCATCCTAAATGAATGGTAAATCCATTTTCTACTCTCACTTCAAATTAGTTCAGTATATAGGGATTCACTGTAGCTAGTCCTCATGGCTACTTTTTGGGTTCTTTTTTTCCTACCTCCCTACACCACCCCTATTCCTTCCAGCCCCCCGACACTAGATAGGAGAGAAAGAACGATAGAGGGGGAAAGGAGTGCAGATCTCTTTGGACTACTTCCTGCTGATTAGGGGCATCCAGTTCTTTGGGGCAAGTCCAATCTTCATTGGCAGGATATCTCCAATTAGCCATCAACAATCCAGCAAAGAACAAAAGCAATTAGCAACAAGCAAAAGCGGCAGCCTGCCTCTCTCAGGGCTCTGGCATTTTTACACCCTCTCCAGAGCACCCCAGAATTCTAAATGTAAATTATCTTCAGCTGGTAGAATTGTGCCCCTGCCAGGGCATGAGACAAATCATAGTTAGCTGCTATGGACAATCTGAAGCAGCCTCATATCTTACACCTGGGATTAAAATAAAACTATATTCACATAACGGCTTTTAAAGAAACCAAAATTCTCCCTCCAATCTGCCACTGGATAACGTGTATTCGAAGATGCTCTGTTAGCGCCCGAGGTTGAATATGACCTGCTTCCGTTACCCTTCCAGATACCGCAGGCCTCAGATTGGGACTTTGTTCATCAACTTTTCTGGTAGGTTGCTCATTCCAACGCTGTCACAGTTATCAGCTATGTATCCTACAACCTACTGGCTCTTCTACTTTGCATTTAAGGATCTCAGAGAGAGAGAAAACAGACCTGTTGGATAACTAAACATACCCCTTGAAACCAAGTGCTAATTATCTTCCTCTCATTGGCAAAATCAGTTTTACTTATATTTGCTCTTTTAAAACTAACCAGTCTAAAAGGAAACTCCTTAGATCCATGAGCACATTGAAAAGGGACAGGAAACTCCTCAGAGACTGCTGTTCTCTCCAGTGTCCCCAAACAGCCTCAACGGCCTCCTCTGGCCACTGCTGAGGGATGACAATGAGAAAAAAACTTTTTGCATCATGAGACTTAGAATTTTTTGAGAGTCTGTTATCAGTGTAGCTGTCCTTGAATGCTGTTGTTGGTTCTGTGAAGAAACAATTGAAATTCAGGTATGTTCTGAAACTGACACCATAAGAAGAGTGTTAGCTAGGACACGGCTGTGTGCACCATGAGTTCACTGTCCGCGTTAGGTCACACTTCAATAAAACGCTAATTCGATATTCAAAGAGAGGCGCAAAACCACCCAATTCTTAGTTAACTCTTTCCCCATTATTCATCCATCAAGAATAACTTCTCTTTCAAAGATGGTTTAGCAAGCACTGCCTTTGCATATGTGTATTCTAACAGGCCTTTTTACTAGCTAAAACCCAGGTATACGGGCTTCAGAAATGACGCTGCTCATGCTTTCTCTCCTGGAGGTGAAGAATCCCCTCATCACTTTCTTCGCAGTAGTGGCATTTGGGGCACACTGAGAAATCTTACTCGAACCAGCACCTTCTGGAAGTGACTCCCTGCCCCGAAAAGCACAATGAGTCTTCCATCAGCAGAGGCGGGGAGCCCCTTTGTTGGCTTGCTTGTGGCCATTGCGACAGAAATCTAGGGTTTTACCCACACGTGATTGCTTTCCCTATGAATGAAACAGAAATTATCAATGAACATGGAACATTCTAGAGTGATGAAAGTTGAAGAAAGGAATAAGTGTGTGTCTGTGTGTTTGTGTTCATGCATTGTTGGCGTAATTTCTCTAAAATCATAGGAAGAAATGTTCAGAAATCACCCTGACAGGAGACTGTTTGGCTGACAAGGTGTGATTTTCTGGGAAGCTAGAAGCAGGGTAAGTTCTCCTTATGGCAGCAATTCTTTATCTGCCTTCAGAACACGGAAGTGAGAAGCCTTTTAAGGGCAGAAAATGAAGTGCCCCTAAGCTCTCACCCTTGCTGAAGGGCTGCTCTTTCCTGGAAGCTGTTCAGATATTCAGGTGAGCTACCAAGTGGTGAGGTTCTCACCTTCAAACCTTTGGGCCTTACGTTTGGGCCTTAAGTAACCGTATTGCAGAGGCTACAGCCTTATAAATCCGAATGATCAGAATAGAAAAGACCAGGAAAAACTTTGGTTTTTCCAGCTGTGGGACAGCCTCGGAGTCTGGTTTTGATTATGACTACCCGTTTTCTAGGAATTGCGGTCTTTGTCAAATGCAGGCGGAAGGAACTGATTGGGGTTCTGGCTGAAGTTCTGGTTTGCTCTTAGAAGACTGTAGAAACCGTCTTTGATGTTGTCTATGCAAATGCATTAACACATCAGGACAGCTCAGCGAGCGCGCGTGTGTTGCATGTCCGTTACAGCCATTACCACCAACACAGAGGCATGAGCAGTTTAACTGTTTGCGAATAACCGTGGCATACTTGTGTTTTAAGCTGCCTTTTCCAAACATCATGGGCTACACCCAATCCTGTGTTTATACGGAACAGAGTTTTCTTTGTGGGCAGCATGAGATTATTTGATTTCTCTTCTGGATTTAAACATAAACCTTTGGAAATAGCAAAGCTTTGAGTTTGTTGTTGTTGTTGTTGTTTTTAGTAGCTAGTGAATATTGCTAATTGTGTAACTGTGTAATGACGTTTCTCTTTCAGCATGACCAGTGAAGAGGGTTGGTCCACATGACTTGATTTCTCCCACAGTCTGTTTTTCTAGGTTGGTCACTGCATCCGCTGTCTGCCAGCCCTCTCTCTAATTTTCTATTTGGTCTTGTAGATACGGTCCAAGGACTCCTGTGTCAGATGACGCAGAGTAAGTGGCGTGGTGTTCGTAGGATCACATTAATCGCTAGCCTAAACTGCATGCTTGTAGTACTTACCACTAATTGGCATGCAACGGCTGCTGCAGTGAGCTGCACAGTGAGCCCACTCCACGGCAGAGCACGTGGGGCCACAGGGCAGAACATGCGTTCTGTGCAGGGAAAGCGAATGGGAAGGCAGCTTAAGCATGATGCTGATGTTTAGCTGATGCTTCGGCTTTGCTGCTCGTTTTTTCACAACTGGGCATGCTCAAGTCACTCTTACGATTTTGACATTGATACCCCTTCTGAACTATGGAGTTTGTTTTGTTTGTTTGTTTTTAAGGGGGGCTGTCATGAGGTTTGCAGTTTAACTCCTAATGCACTGGGGCTTAGTGTAAACAATGAAGTAGTCATTCCTACAATCATGTTGCCCTTCCTCCCCCCCCCCACCCCCGCCAAGCCAAGAAAATAAATCCTAAACCACTAATTATAGATTCAGGAGCCCAAGTTCCTAACAGGTTCAAGTCATATAAACTGTGCGATGCTTAAGACCCAAACATTGGGGTTTTGTTCAAGTTCCGAGACGTAGCAAGGGGTCAAGGGTATAAAAGCGGACCTGGTTTCCTCTGCCTGCTGCTTGCTTTTCTTCCCGCAAAGAGGTCTCTTCCCCACTCAGCACCTCACATCCCAGTATGAGAAGAATCTTAACCGCTCCATCTGTGACCTTACAAACTCTGTTCTAAAACTGGCTTTCCTCTAAGCAGTTCATCCTACACTTGATATACAAGGCCGAAGGTTTTTCAGAATAATATTCTCGGGTCTGAATGATTGGTCTTCTAAGGAAAAGGACTTAATGGTCATTCATCACCGGAAGGGTGAATGCCGCCTGTTGTCAGCCAAGTCCCACATCACAGAGAGGAGCTTCACTCAAGGTGTAGAACCCACCTATGTCATTTCTACTGATGACAACTATAATGATATTTAGGCAGAGAAGGGAGCTTTATTAAAAAACAAAACTGTTTTCACATCATGCTTTTCCCATGTTTGTGTTGAGGGTGTCGGCCTAGTTTAGAACCTTAGCTCTGTGTAGTCAGATTCCATTCCCAAGTTCTGATAGGCATTCTAGACCTAGTTAGTTATCTAGGAGACAGAACCTCCAGCCCCTGAGACGCAATTCAGCCTGTGCTTGACTGACTGCACGGAGCTAAGCAGACTGTAACACTGAGTCCTGGTTATTGCTCTCAAACCCCGAAGTGGCAATACTTCACATCCCTGACAGAAGGAGGATATGAGATTGACAGGCAAAACACTGCTGTGATCTGGTGAGCAGCAACATTGTGATGGGATAGATTTACCCCTCAGTGACACACAGCTTCTCCACAGCTGCGGTGCAGTTTGCCCAAAGTAGATCTTGGGGAAAGCCTGAAAGGGGACAGGAAGCTACATTCAAAAGATTTTTAGATCTTGCCTCTAGTTGCCTCTGGAACCTCAGCCACAGAAAAAGTTAGGGACTGTTTAAAGAGACAGGGCTCAGGTCCCCGGCCTTTATAGAAAACTGTCCCTGTGGAGCAAGGAGAGGTCAAGGAATAAAACCTTGTCTAGAGGTTTTATTTGAGATATACAAAAGTGCCAAATTAACTGGTTAGAGTAGACACTGTGGACATTTAAGTCATGTGGAGAAAATAGAATCACAAGGCGGTACTAAATTATTTTTTTTAAATAGAGGCGTATAGTGTTTATTTAGTTTCTTTCCTCTCTTTCTTTCCCAAAATCTTTAACATAAACTACACCTAATGACACATTCTTAAGATACAGCCCAATCAAAAGACCAAGGGTCCTGATCAAATATAAGTCAGAGTAGACGCACCATAGAGATAGTGAAATCTCCACCTCCTGCCCAATCAAGAACATCCCTGTAAGCTTAATTTCACATTCTCTCAGCTATTTCTCCTCTCCCACCATGCCTCTGCCAAGGAGCCTGCATCTTGGGAGCGCCACGGGCATTTTATTTTGAATTTTCTTGCCTCCGACTGTCCTTGGAAACTATTTCCAGGCTTACTCCCATCTCTCAAGAATGTTAGCTTGCTTCCAACTGAGTCCTGGGCTCTCCAGACATCAACCTGTGTTCTGACAATCCAGCCCATGAGCACTGGCTCTGAGGGCAGGTATAGTACAGGTCACGTTAGTATTCTGGCACCTGGGTTCCTCCAGGACCCCACCCCAGCTCTGCCCCATCCCACACCCAGACCCACCCTTCTTCATCAGATGCAAAGTTCTACCTCTAAACGGAACAGTTTCTAGATGGTGATAAGGCTCAATTTCTATTTTTCATTGTCAATTCCCAATTTTTTCAGTCACCTCCCTTTTCAAATAAGTGACAAAAAGTCATGGTTTTGTGGCTCCTTTTCTCATTCTTTTTTTCTTCTTTTTCCTCCCTTTTTGATATTTTAAAAACACAAAAATCCTTGTGGGGATGGGGGAGGGGTGGTTACTACTTCCTAGGATAGGAGAGGCAAATGAGCCCCACTTAATTATTTGGCCTTTGGCCTCATTTCAGCTGGGGGAGATTGGAACTTCACAAACAGAGGTGGTAAATCAAGGCGGAGGTGGCCGTATTCCCTCCATTCACATGGTGGAGAGGCCTGCAACTTCCTTCCCACCTCTGCCAAAGTCACTGTTCTAAGCTACCTATTATGCCCAGCCCAGAATTCTGCCCTTCAGGACTCACAGGGACCCTGTCTCCCTCCACAACCTGTTATCTGGCCTCTGAGGTACTCCTCTCAGAGATGTGAATAGGCCTTAAGGCAATCGTAATTTGACTTAAAAAAAAAAATAACGTAGGTATTTTTAAAGGTAAGATCCACCCACTTTAACTATAGGAAAAGAAAGTATGAGTTTCCATCTATTTCTAGAAGACCTACTTATATGGGGGGAAAAAAAAGAGGGGTAAATTTTTCTACTTAGCACTGTAAAATTTCAACCCTTTCTTAATGTTAATAGGCAGTATAAAACTAGATGAAGAGAGCTCAGCCCTTATCTCCTTGAAGGAGGAGGTTTAGTTTTCTAGAGGACAAGCTGCCGAAGTCAACACTACCAGCCAGGGAGGCAACAGAAGCCTCGGGTGTAAATAAAAATAAATACATAAAGAAATTTAAAAGTCCCCAAAGTTGGGTTCTTAGAATACTCTGAAGGAAGATAGTCTTGAGTTTTAGATCTCAGATTAGACTTTAAATGCCCAGCACCTGGAGAAAGGGGTGAAGAGCCCAGCTGCTCACGCGGATTCAGCCAACAGTGTTGATGCTGCTTGCACAGCACTGATGATGTCTAGAATGAGTTGGTTTCCAAACACTTTGCTTTCTTTGGGGGGGGGGGGGTGGGGGGGGGGTGATGTTAAGCTGGCTTCAAAAATGGATTAGCACCATTTTCTACACCTCAGAGACTTGGAAGTTTTCTCCATTACTTAACTTTTTTGAGTACATGACCCATGTGACCCATTTGGTCTCAGAGCTAGTCTTTGTTTTGTTTTTGTTTTTTTTGGGGGGGGGCGGTTTTGCTTGGTCTCTTACTTACTGTGTCACCCCGCTGCTTCAATGCTTGCTCTTAACAGGTCTGTGTGAGCATCACAGAAATGGCTCCGTGGTCTTAATAAGCTCCTACAGAGTTTATCAACTGCAGCACAGCCCAAAGGTTTGCTGCTCTTCATTGCCCACCCGTTCTCTTTTCAAGTAAATGCAGGGGCATCCTGACAAAAATAAACCAAAACACACACACACACACACACACCTTAAATTCTATATACCTTTGAATGAGAGGAGTGCGGGTCTTCAGATACTTCCTCCTAGCCCTCTTTGGGGGCACCTTTCTAGAAAGCTGCCCAATTCAGGGCTATCAATGAAGACAAAGACATCCCCTCTTGGCTGTGCTGCTGGTGGCTGCTTCCCGCTGCGGAGCGAAGAGGCGGCTCTCAGTCCCGCAGCGCCCCCAGGCGGCGGCGCGCAGTGGCGAAAGGAGCCCGCCGCCCGCGCTCATCCAGCTTGCTTTTTGTTTTTGCTCTCTCCCGGTCAGGAGCACGAGCATGTTTGACATGCGGTGTGAGGAGGAGGCAGCGGTGCTGCCGCACAGCAGGGCCCGCCAGGAGCAGCTGCAGCTGATAAATAACCAGCTGAGGGAAGAGGACGACAAATGGCAAGATGTGAGTTCTGGCCAAGGCCGCGGGCAGTGGGGAAGGACTCAGCGGACCACCCGGCTGGGAGGGTGGACTTGGACTTCAAAGCCATCCTGGGGAGGGCCGCCTGAGACCTCACCGGTGGGAAGATTAGAGGAGAGGTCCGCAGGAACGCGGAGAGAGGAGAAACTGTGTGTGTATCAGCAGGTACTCTGGACCAAAGCTTGGTCACAAAGAGAAAGGATAGGAGGCAGGCAATTAGCATGGGCACAGAGCTGTGGTGTGCTGCCTTTTAATATTCTAGATTTGGGACTGATAGATGACGATGATGACTGCAGCTGTCAGCGTTAATTGTACCAGTAGCAGGCATGGTTCTAAATGCTCTGGGTAATTCATCCAATCTGTTTAGTAGCTCAGTGTACCAGCAATGGTTATCTTCCAGCATCCACAGATGAGCCCTGGCCCAAATTTCCATAGCTAGTTGAGTAGAGAGGCAAGATGCAACCCAGGAAAGGAAGACACCAGAGGCTGGTGAGAGCTCGGAGGTTTTGTGCTGAGCGAAAAGAGCTAAAGCAGGAACAGCTTGGGGTTGACAGAGAGAGGGGATCATTTTGCTTGGTCCTCCTGGAACAGAGAGGTCAGTATTGCAAACCTGACTCCACCATTAGTCAAAAAGTTGATGTCTCCAAAGTCGGCATGATGGAAATGATAATATGTCAGTGTGCCTAGCACCCAAGTGTGTTCTCACATTTAGCTCCAAGACTTGTAAGCAGAGTTGGAACAACCATCCCCATTTTAGAGAATATAAAAATGATTTCAGAGAGGCTAAGAAACACAGACAATGCATGAGCAAAATAGGGCTGGGCTCATCCCGCTGACATTCCAGAAGCCGCTCCATAACTACCTGTAGGGCAGGTCCCGATGCTGTCCAGAGGATCAGAGGAATTCACATACTTGATCAGTGGAGATCTCTAAGACCCGACTCCAAAGCCACATTTTTTTTCTGCCTTTACTCCCATCAAAGAGAAAATTGTATATTTGTCCCTACCATTTCGTTACCAGGATATCTATTTCCAACGCAGAGGTGGAAATAGAAAAAAAAAAAAAGTTTTCTATGATTATCTTGTAAGACGGTCTCTCAAATTTGACAAACACCTTGAACTGTGATCTCGTATCACGCCTCAGTGTTTCGGTAAATTGCTGCCCTGCTAATGATGGTGTACAGGTACCTGTTTCTTTCCCTGCCTTCTGGGCATCCTTGTTCCAACCAGAGCACCATGGGATTGTGTGGGAAGTGTCCCGGCATAGAGTCTTAGTGCTTACAGGTCCGTGAGTCACAGAAAGGGAATTCTGTGCAGGCTGAGAAAGAACATGGTATCTCTCCCTCCCCCCAGGACCTGGCTCGTTGGAAGAGCCGTAGAAGAAGTGCTTCTCAGGACTTAATCAAGAAAGAGGAAGAAAGGAAAAAAATGGAGAAGCTAATGTCCGGAGAAGATGGGACAAGCGAACGAAGGAAAAGCATCAAAACTTACAGAGAAATTGTTCAAGAAAAGTGGGTCTTTCTGTTGTTAGTGTGCAGTAGTATCTAGACATGCTTTTTTTCTAAGCCGTGCTACCACCCAGGCTCCAATGCTACCATTTATAGTTTGGTTTTATTCTACCTTGGTGGGAGCCTTTGCACTTTCCCGGCTATTTATTGCTCTTCTTCCTTTGTCCCACCCTGCAGAGAGCGGAGGGAGAGGGAGCTGCATGAGGCATATAAGAACGCGCGCTCCCAGGAGGAGGCCGAGGGCATCCTCCAGCAGTACATCGAGAGGTTCACCATCAGTGAGGCCGTGCTCGAACGCTTGGAGATGCCAAAAATCCTGGAAAGAAGCCATTCAACAGAGCCAAACTCATCCTCCTTCCCAAACGACCCCAGCCCCATGAAATACTTGCGGCAGCAGTCACTGCCTCCACCCAAGTTCACTGCCACGGTGGAAACCACCATCGCTCGTACCAGTGTCCCAGACGCCAGCGCGGCGGCAGGCAGTGGGTCTCCAAGCAAAACCGTCACTGCGAGTGCAGTGCCTATGCTGACACCCAAGCCTTACTCCCAGCCCAAAAACTCTCAAGAGGTTCTCAAGACTTTTAAGGTAGGATGAATTCTTTGAGAAAGAAATGGAAACCGAACTCCGGGCAGTTTGTGGAAAAGAAGCCTTTTGTCAAAAGCCAAACACATGTGACGTTGACAGCAATACACTTATATTTCAGGAGGCTTGGTTTGCACATACGTGAGGCGTGGGTGCTCCTCCCAGTTCTGCTGTTACTCTTAGTGGGCTCACTGTGATTGACAAGTCATCCGCATAAGCAGATGGTTTGATGTGATGGCTTCTTTTAAAGCAACGTAAAGAAACCCTAATTTAGCAATATTGTGGATCTGTAGTTCCGCGTGGCAGACTCGACTGTGTTTGCCTTCAGTTTAAATAGACAGCTATGGGAAGAAATTGACACCCTATCCAGAGAGTTGCTACACTTGAGAAAAGTAGCACAGGAGGTACATGGTGGCATTGGTGTGCCCCTCATCAGGTGAGACAAGGTTTTCTTGAGCAGAGAGCTGGGCTGTGTTACAGGAGAGTCAATATAAGATGATTTTTGAGAACCAAAAACTCTTTTTTTAAATATTATTATTATTATTAATTACACTTTATTCATTTTGTACCCCCCCATAAGCCCCTCCCTCCTTCCCTCCCAATCCCACCCTTCCTCCCCTTTCTGCTTGCATGCCCCTCCTTGGCAACCAAACATATTTTTACTTGCTCATTTTCTAGTATCTCCCAGTATTGTCAGGGAGCATTCGGCCTGAATCTTAAGCTCCTGCGACTCCAAAGGAAAAATCAGTTCGCATTCTCCTCGAACAATATGTGAGTTTTGTACTAGATGACGAAGCAGAACTCATCACCAGGAGCTGTTGCCATCAGGCAGGACTGGCGAGAAGTTTGCACAACTCAACTAACCAAGCAGTGAGGGCTTTAGAGAGACCCCAAGCCTACTTTTTTACTTACGTTTAAATAACTCTAAGTCTCTAAGTCTCTCTCTAAGTATATCTGTACCTTAAGCTTTACTAGGAAAAAAAAAAAAGATGGATGTCTGGCCATTTCACCCAGATTGAATTAAAACGTTTGTCCCATACAGGGTAAAGACTATCTTTATTTTTCATGGCTCCATCCTAAGAGCCTGGGGTAGATAGATATCCAGGACATGGTGGGCAAAAGTGAATAAATAAATTCTTCCTGAGATTCAACAGAAATTGAAGGTGTGTGAGTGTGTGTGTGTATGTATACATGTGTACCGAGCAGGGACCTCCGTGGCCAAAATATTTGAGTACTTCCTTTCTCCTGGGGCCAGGATGATTATTGGTGCTGTAACATTGTATGATAGCATATTACGAACATAGGTGGGAATACACACACAACTGAATAACTGAAGCATCGGATCACGTCATTTAGATGTCCACTTCCTTCATTTATGTAAATGGCACAATGTGGCCATGTAATGATTAGGACCTAAGAATTTATGACAGAATTTAGGCTCTGAGAAAATCGTGTCATTTTTGTTTGGTAGTCTGTCCTTCACTGTGTGTGTGTGTGTGTGTGTGTGTGTGTGTACACGCCCACAGCAGCAAGACCCTTTCTGGAAAATAAATGAACAGTTGTTGTCAAAGTAACATATAAACAGGACAGTTGTTACTGGAAAATAAATGAACAGTTGTTGTCAAAGTAACATATAAACAGGACAGTTGTTACTGGATTGGAGAGAAAGGCAGCTTAGAAAAATGTGTGTGTGCACATGCCCACAAGAGCAAGACCCTTTCTCAAAAATAAGTGAGTAAATAATTTGTACCAGATTTTTAGGGGAAAAAAAAAAAAGCTAAAGGAAGATCAAGTGATACAATTCAAGCATTGGTTTTTTTTTTTTTTTTTTTTTAATAAACAAAAACAAAACCTTGTTTCAAACTTGCCATTAGGTTACTGTCAGTTCAGTGGTTTGGAATCACCATTATTTAAAAATGAAGTGGACAGGGTTCCATAGAAAAAGTCACATGGGTCAGACTCAGTAAACATAAGCACACTGTTTCTCTGTGTACACACACGCCATATTCATGCGTGTGTGCTGAGTTGTGTTGTCCGTCTCTTACAAGTAACAGGTAATGGAGCGTGATGGCCAGTGACAAAGAAAGCTGACCACGGCTGGCTAACATCCAGCCTTCCATTGTTGCTGTCAGAAGATGTTAGAGGACCAGCTAAGAATAGCCAGTAGGTGTGAGAGGTTGCCACAAGTCCTGAGCTTTAGTGTAGAACCCCACAACAATGCTGTGAAGAAGGCCAAGTTCTGTTAAAAGCTGCATATTCGCAGACTGAGTCAGAAACTTGTGAAGTTGCGTAGGTGCTGAGTGGTAGAATCAGAATTAGAGCGTTAGCTCACCTCACCACAGGCAATGGACCTCAAACAGCAGGAAGGAGATTTCTGTCTGCCTTTTCCATAGGCCATAGGCCAGGTAAGCCCCTTCTCTGCAACTTGCTCTTGCTGTCTCCTCTAAATATGAAACATGAAGCAAAAACATTTTAATGATCATGGACATTTTTTTACCCTTGAGAAAAAAAATAGAATTATAAAATTAAATAGAAAAATGAGACTTATTATAAATACAACATAATAACAAAGTCCGTGCCCTCCGTGATAGCTTCATAAAAATATACCCCATCTCCCACCACAAGATAACCTGTAAGACGTTCTTGATCAGAGGAGGGCTAACCAGAAAAAAAAAAATTCAAATTGGGGAATTACCGTAACAACTTAACCCAAACAGGTGGCATGTGTTTGTTTTTAAGGTGCCTTGATTTATTTATACTTCTGAGTAAAAGCTCACATGAATCAGATGAACATGACATGTCATGAAGCTCCAGCAGCCTCAAAGATGACATTGCCAGCTGCCAGACTGACTTCTAGAACCCACGAAAGCACTGGAGAGGCCTGATTCCTTTTGGGGACAGGGCTACGCACTAAGAATTCTTTTTTTTTTTTCCAGTCATTCATACTTTTAACAAATGTAGAAACTGTATACTGAGCACTTTGCTGTGAAATATGGCTGAGGCAAAACTGTGGTAAACAAAGTCTTTGCTATCAAAGAGCTTCCTAGAATAATTTCTACCTTTTTCCTGAAGTTTAATTTTCTAGTTGAAGGTTTCTCTTTTTTAAGCCAGTTGGTTTTACTTACTTTATGAAGATTCTTAGGGCATGATTTTGCTTTCTCTGAACAGCTCAATTTCTTCCTTATGTCAGCAGAGTTCACACCTTCTGTTGGCAGTGAGGGAGAAATCTGC